TTCATCCCAAGTCTTTGAACAAAATCTTTGACCCGTTCTCCTTTCCAAACTAATTGAACCCTTCATCCTAAGTCTTTGAACAACATCTTTGACCCGTTATACTTCCGAAACTCTTTGAACCCTTCACCCCAAGTCTTTGAACAAGAATCTTTGATCCGTTCTCCTTCCCAACTGGTTGAACTGTTCATCCCAAGTCCTTGAACAAAAAGCTTGACCCGTTCTCCTTCACAAACTCTTTGAATCCTTCTCTCCAGTCTTTGAACAAAATCTTTCACCTGTTCTCCTTCCCAACTGGTTGAACCGTTCATCCCAAGTCTTTGAACAAAATATTGACCCGTTCTACTTACCAAACTCTTGAACCCTTCATCCCAAGTCTTTGAACAACATGATTGACTAACACTAACCTTGGTATGGAAGTGACGCTGTACAAGCCCCCATTGCAGGGCGGGTCTGTATTGAAAAAATGAATTCCGAGGGGGGATGAATTGAACTATCAATTATTACACCCGAAGGAGCTTTGCTTCGCAAGACAAACTCAAGGTATCTCCCTAAGGGCTACCTTTCGTGAATAGTTCACGGGAGTTGCGCTTCGTTCTATGTAACAATAATTGATTAATTACATATCTATGTACAAAGGAATTATTTTTCAATATAGGTTTGTTACTACATCAGATTCAAAGGTCTAAGAGCTCCTCGAGGCTGGATCCTTGGAAACAATGACCTTGTAGTCGGAGTCTCACGAATTCTGGCACAATTTCTGCAGGATTTTTGCGTCCTGTTGAAATCTGAGTCAGCAGGTGGTGAAGCCAAACCATCTTTAAAGCATAATTTGCCTCTCTTTGCTCCAAGGCGGTTTCCACAGCCTCTCTCAGTTTGGCATCCACGTCTGGGACCTCTTTCACAAAACCGTTCCTGCTCAATACTTTCTGGTCTCTCAATGCTTCCCACAAACGCTGGCTTTGTTGTTCATTCCACTGGTGGCTGGCAAAGTTGCAGGCGCTCCGTGGTTGCAAAAGACCCAGAAATTTCGCAACTTCTGCACATTCACTGAGTGAGTAATCACAGGAGCCATTGAAAAGCTTCAGCACAGCTCGATGCTCTGCACGTGGAAGCTTTGGATAGCCCACACGACAAACAATCATACTTTTGCCAGTATCACTCAAGTGGCACAGCTGGGCAAAGAACTCTTCTGCCTGCGTTGCCCGCTGAGGGGCAACACATTGCTGGCTTCCCAGTCTGATAGCAAGATGATCGATGTCTCTTGGTCATTGCCCGGAGACAAAAGGAAAGTATTCACTGCACGCAACGCATGTGCTCTTTCCAGAGGGCTGCAATGGTCATCTGTAATTTGGACACTGCAAAGCCAATTGCTGGTGATGAACAAATGACTTGGCATGTCTCTGAAATCGAGCAGCTGTGGCAAATGCATCCCGCAGCGTTCCAGCTCATCTGCAGTTATTGCATGCAAACGGGGACATCCATCGCATTCATTGAGGCAATCAGATACAAAACCTTTTTGTAAAGCATGGCCCCATTCCCATCGCTTCTCAACAAGCGGTGTGTGGGCTTGGACTGGAGGAGGACAACACTTCAGCTTCGGTTTCTATTTCGATTTCCTTCTCTCATTCTTTCTCCTGTTCCCTCTCTCGTTCCTGTTCCTCATCCATAGAAGTAACAAGAACGCCCTCAGAACACAGGAGTTTGTGATCATGCAAGTATGCCAACTGATTCCTGATTCTCTTGTGTGCTCGTTCTCTCCAGCGCTGTGTTTCTTGTGGTGTCAGATCTGCATTCTTCAAGATCTGTTCTGGGGCATCCAAAGCACGCCTGGGAATCTCTTCCTCACTGGGGCAAGCAGCCAGTGACTGGCAATACGAAGTCAACTGAAAATTCTCTGGCTCTCTGCAAAGCTTTGCCAAACGCCTTCATTCAGGCCCGAAGCCCCCCTGGACATGTTCCAAGAAGGGCACTCGTGTTGCAAAGGCTGAACCCTGCAATGCCCAGTGAACAATAGCAGACTTCAACTCCTCTGCTGTCCGAGCTGTGACAAAAGCAAGAACTAAACCCACACTTGGCTCCACTCCATGCTGTCCACCTTCTGCTGCAAGTTGCCTTCCAGCTTCACTGTCCACAAAAAGCATAACCTTTTGACCCAGGCCCAGAGAACGCATGCGCATGCAGGCTAGTCCAACCTGTCTTTGGTGGTCTTCTTACACACAGTGACTGCTCCAACTGCAGCTGGGGCAAAGCGTAGATCCGTTCCACGCGTGTGCTTGTCATCCAAATATGTGAAGCACTCATGGGCAGGTTGAAACGGGCTCTTTGCCAAAGGAGTGTCTTTTCCATCACTGTCCAGTACCATGATCTGGTTCTCATCATCGAAATATATAAATAGCTGCCCGAAATCTATGAGGACTCAGCTTCAGCGCAGCCTCTGCAACTTGCCGATTCGACATCCCAGTGAGCAAAGCACCGCAGTCAATCAGCACAAACACATGGACTTCAGATTGAGCGATGAGAATCTCCTCCAAAATCTGCAAGGGTTCCTTCTGCTCAATCATTTTCACAGGGGACGGTCCACCCATCTCAGGATCACAAAGACTTCGCAAAGCCCGGCCATCAGTGTGCTTCAACATGTCGTCCTCATACTGCTGCACCCCCAAAGGCAAAAGCTGCCGATTGTCCGCTGTGCCTGAAAATCCTCTCAAACGCCCAGCGGCCAAATCCCATGCACTTGATGATACCTGTCATGGGAGCCCGAGTGCTTATAAAGCAGAGTTCAACTAGTTGTGACTGCTAGTCTTACAGAAGCACAAACATGATCTTTTTTCAACGTGGGCCCTTCATGCAGCAATGGGCCTTGAACGGAAATTGTCGAGTTTTCGTGGGAAAGACAAACTCCTCCAGGAAAGTCTCGACAACCTGCAAATTCTTGCGTGCCATGGGCAGCGGAGCATTTGGCCGCTCTGACTGACTGTTCGATCGGTAGCCGCAACTAACCCCACCTCGCCCATCAATTTTTCATACAAAAATATTGATATTATCAAAAATATAAACATAGGATTATTAAACCTCCCCTAGTTAATCCAAGCCCACAAAGTCTCCGAAAATTGCCTAAATTAAGAGTAGTATTGTTAGTATTGGTGGTTGATTTCCCCCCAATGGTCTAGTTGGGCACCAGAACCCTCCCCAGTTAACCCGAGCCCACAACCAGGTCAAATGTTGATTTTGCTACTACTACTACTACTACTACTACTACTACGACTACGACTACGACCACTACAACTACAACTACAACTACAACTACTACTACTACTACTATACTACGATACTACCATACTACCGTACTACCATACTACTATACTACTATACTATTATACTACTACTACTACTTCTTCTACTACTACTACTACTACGACTACCACTACTATTACTACTACTACTACTACCACTACCACTACCACTACTACTACTACTACTACTACTACTACTACTACTACTACTACTACTACTACTACTACTACTACTACTACTACTACTACTACTACTACTACTACT